AACTCAAGGCTTGAATTTTTTCCTCACTTCTTTCAGCTTGAGAAATGCTGAGCGTGTTCTTTCTCTTTTGGTTTTCTAACTCCAGGTCTTTGCACATTGCATTATAGTAATTGGCTTTGTCTGCTCTAGCTGCTCTTTGAAATCTTCTGTTCAGCTCTTGCATCTTGTCATTTCTTCCATTTGCTTTAGCTACTGTCTGTTTAAGGGCAAGTTTCAGAGTCTCTTTTGTCATCCATTTTGGTCTTGTTGTCTTTTTAGTGACCTCTTGCTTTCTTCATGAATGATACTCTCGATGTCATCCCACAGTTCATCTGATTTCCGGTGATTGGTGTTCAGTGGATCAAATCTATTCTTTAGATGGTCTCTAAATTCAGGAGGGATATACTCGAGATCATATTTTGGCTCTCGTGGACTTGCTTTAATTGTCTTCAACTTGAAGTTGAACTTGCATATGAGCAATTGATGATCTGTTCCACAATCAGCTCCTGGCTTTGTTTTGGCTGAAGATGCTGAACTTTTCCATCACCTCTTGCCACAGATGTAGTCAGTCTGATTCCTATGTACTCCATATGGTGAAGTCCTTGTGTATAGCTGCTGTTTGTGTTGTTGAAAAAAGGTATTTGCAATGAATAAGTCATTGGTCTTGCAAAATTCTATCCTGCGATCTCCAGTGTTATTTCTGTCACCAAGGCCAAATTTTCCAACTACCCGTGATTTTTCTTTGTTTCCAACCTTTGCATTCCAATCACCAGTGATAATTAACACATCTTGATTTCACATTTGGAAGCACATCATCAGGTTTTCATCCCTGGGAGCTGCTGGGTGAGTTCTAACCACTGACCCTGGTTAGCAGCTGAGTACTTACCTCTTGTGACACCTGGGCTTTTTATTGAGGGTGTTAGAGGGTCAGAAATCATAGTCCCTACCCACAATGACTGATGCTGTTACTTGTTGTGGTAGTTAAGGTTGTGTGTCAGTGTAGCTGGTCCTGGTTGAGCGGCTGGGTAGGTGGATGTAGTTATTTCCCATGATGAGATTGTTAGTTAACTCCATGGTGGAATCTACTGGAGCAGCTGAGTAGCTGCTTTAGGGATGTGGGCTGCTTCCAGTGTATAAAAAGCAACTTGGAGGATGGTCTGCACCTTATGGCATGCTTGAATCCTGCATGTAGCCAAGTTGTTGTTCAATAGCCTGCCATGCCCTGCCAATCTTGGGACTTCTTCTGGACTTGAATTAGTGGCCTGCCGTGTTGTTTGGTAACATTGGGAATGTGTCTTTTTACTTGTCGACCTTGGGTTTGTCAGCCTCAGCAGCCAGCAGCTGCCTGAGTGAAGAAAAGCCTCCAGCTTCAATGGGCTGGGAGCAGGAGGCAGAGCTGAAGCCCAAGGTTAAGGGGCTTTCACCCACCCCTATAGCCTGACACTTTGAACTTGGACTTCTAGCCTCCAGAAGTGTGAGAGAATAAACTCCTGTTTGTTCAAGCATCCCACTTGTGGTATCTTCTGTTAGAGTAGCATTAGGTAACCAAAACACTTGTGGAAGGGGCTAAGAACCTAGGTGACCAGGGATCCAGGTGCTCCTATTGGGAAGTCATGTGTCATAAAGTAACAGGCTGAGTATTTAGAGTGAAAAGGCCCCATTTCAAGCTCTACCCTTTATTAGCTGAATCACCTGGTGCAAATCATTTGTCCTCTCTGCTCCTTAGTTTCCTCATTTGTACTTGGGGTTGGTAAAAATATTTGTCTCATCTTGCTGGATCATGTGGAATTTCTAATGAGATAATGAGTGTGAAATGGCTTTCTACAGGTTAGTTATTGCAAATATTATCCCAGGATTAGGTTTTAGGATCTAGGTGGCCTCAGACCCCCACTAGGTATGTGCTGTTATATGAGAGGAAACTCAAATGAAAGTCAAAGAGACATGTAAACAGAATGGGGCAAGTGATTCATTAGCAAAAGGTTTAGTAATGAAAGGTGTTTTTTCTTTGACAAACATATTTCACGGCTGACAGGGTCTTTTAAAATACCCCGAGGGATGCAGCTCATTTGCATGTTAAAGACTCACTGACAACCTTATGGGAAACTCCAGCCCCAGTCTATTTAGAAACAGTTTGGCTTCTTTATCATTTATTTTATGTATTTCAATTTCCACCTCTTTTATTACTGATGACATTTGCATGAAATCTGGGTCTTGGGAGTTGTTTGCTTTGCTGTGGCTTCCCCTTGAGGTAGTTTCAAGCTGCTGGATGGCCTCTTTGTCTACAGAGACAGACCTGGAGGGTAGTTAGACAGGAGTATGGAGTTCAGGGAAGCCGAGGGCTGGGAGGTGGTGTTGGGGGCACCCATGGGAGGGTGGCCATAGAGTTAGCCCTGGGTTTGTGATTCTCATCTGGGGACCCTTGCTATTGACTCTGCACATGGGATATGATTGATGGATTGATTGATCGATTCATTCATTATGCACTGCTGTGGAGTCAGACCCGACTAATAACTATGCCTCCTTAGGTTTCCGAGGCAGTGTCATTACCATAGTAGATTGCCCAACCTTTCTTCTGAGGAGTGGCTGGTGGGTTTGAACTGCCAGCTTTCTGGGTAGCCGTCAAATGCCTTAGGTACTATGCTACCAGAGCTCCTCATACCTGGCATGTTTGAGGAATAATGTGGAGACCAGGCCCATTGGAGTGGAGTGAACAAGGGGTAGTAGTAGTAATAAGAGCTGCTAAGGAGCT